TCATATTTCTCTTCTCAAAAAGAGAAATATGAACGTTAGTTTTTAACTGAAATGATCAAATAAAGTCAACATTTCACAGTGTTTACAAACATTGACCATACCGTTCACCATCCCCCACCCCCCTACTGTATGTTGATTTTTGACTTTGTTTAGAGCAGTGAATTCTCTTCCTCTCTGCAGCAGAGAGCTAAGCGCTGTCAGACCGGACCTAACCCTAACCCTGAAAAGTATTATCATCTGAAATTAATCATTATGTTATTAATATTAAATACATATAAGTATTTTTACAACTTGTATTTAGAAATACTCTGTTGTAATTATTGATGCATAAATGTGTTCATCCATTCAATGTGGCATTTGCTATAATGGGGTTAATGTATGATATTACTTAATAATACAATACATTATAATATATGATATGATAATTACATTTTAATTTTATTCATTTCTTATTTCATAGTTTCTCATTATTATTATTTTTATTTTTATCGCTGATCTTATTTTTGATTTTATTAATCTGTGTGAATCTGTGCTGTCCTGTTTTTCACTCTCACCCTGTTGCTGTTTGAACTACTGAATTTCCCCACGGGGATTAATAAAGGTCCATCTTATCTTATCTTATCTTAATGTATAAGTTGATTTACTTCGATCTACTGTACTGTGTAAAAACACCACAACAATATTACAAAAAATATACTGCATAAAGCAAACTATTGTAAAGGTAAAAGTATGAGCATAAAAAATAAAGAAGTGTAAACATTTACATTATTATGATTATTTAATATATAAAGACTATATATTATTGAATTACAATTAGGATAATAAGATTAGATATACTTTATTTGATCTAAAATATTGATGTTTTTTCGTTATAGTAGCCTGTGAAAACCATAACAAATAAGTGATTAAATGCTACAGTATTCAGCAAACACAACTGCAGAGCTGCAACATTGCAAACAGACTAAGTTCTACAACACCAAGTTGTCTGTGTGTATTTGTGAATGAAGCGCCATCTCATGGTTAAATCCTGTAATTGAACAAATGGGGAAATTTGGCAACGTCCTCTAGCAATTTGGCAATGCCCCCAGCCACTGGGATCCGCTGGGTTTTTGGTTGGGACACACCCATTGGAGTCCTATCTGGAGAGCTACATCTGTATTTCGCCGTTTGTTTTACTGTGAGCAATGAATTACCTTTCTACAATCTTAGATGTGTACCCAATTTAAACTCATAGTCTGCAGTTACAGCATTGAGTTGCTATTATACAAAATTAAGTGCAAACTATATTTTTCATGCTTATGCAACGCTATAGATGCAAATCCATGTTGGAATCTGCAGGAGAGTTAACGTTAGCTCTCAGTAGCCAGTGACGGAGGTGACTTCTGTTAAGGTGCATTCAGGCGCAATTCAGTAAAAGTGTGTATTGGGCGAGGATGCATTTATAATGTCAGCAAGATGTTTGTTTGTTTGTAGCCTTTATTTAACCAGGTGAAAATCCCATTGAGATCAACAATCTCTTTTTCAAGGGAGACCTGCAGCACGTTGGTTACACATAAAAACAACAGAAAACAAAAAGGACATCATACAACATAATTACAGGGGTATAAATTAGCAACCTATTCACAATGACAGATATCTAATAACATATCATCCAGCCGCGCTTTAAAATGATGCAAGGGAACCAAAATGCTCAGTTTAAAAAAAAATTGCACAGTGTTCCAAGCTAGAGGAGCAGCGCACATAAAAGCTTTAGTACCTAAAACAGTCCTAGCACTTGGCACATGTAATAAAAACACATCCTGGGATCTCAGGCAATAGCTACTTGCCACTCTCTGTGAAATCAGAGAGCAGATATAAGGTGGTAGTTTACCCAGCATGGCTTTATATATGAATATGTACCAGTGACTGAGCCTCCGTACAGTAAGTGAAGGCAGACCTGCCTTGGCATACAGGGTACAGTGATGAGTAAGTGCTTCACAGTTAGTAACAAATCTCAGTGCGCTGTGATAGGCGGCATCTAACCTTTCCAGGCAATGGGCAGGTACATTCATATAGATCAAATCACCATAGTTTAGCACAGGTCAAAAGGTCACAGAGACTAGCCTTTTCCTGGCTTCAAAAGAGAAACAGGACTTGTTTCTGAAAAAGAAACCTAGTCTAACCCTCAGCTTTTTAAGCAGATTAATGACCTGAAGTTTAAAAGTAAGACAATCATCAAGCCAGATACCTAGGTATTTATAACAGGTAACCACTTCGAGTACTTGTCCTTGCATAGTAACAATATCCAAAGCAGTCTCTGGAGTCTTTTTTGCTTTTGAAAAAAGCATTACCTTGGTTTTCCCAACATTTAAAAGAAGCTTAAAGGTGGGGTAGGTAAGTTTGAGAAACCGGCTAGAGATCGCTAGAATTTGAAAATACACAACCGGATAGAGCCCCTCCTCCAACACACACGAATGCGCACATGACCAATGAGGGCACGAGATAAGTTTGTGCACAGATGGAAGGCTGACAGGCAGGTAGGCCATCCAGTTATTTTAGCCGGGCCGGCTAAAATGATTGGTCGTGCTTTTTACAGTACTACGGCTTCCACAGATGACATTTTCTTATGGATTTTTTGTCAAAGCACTTAAGATATTCATTGCTATCGGGATGTTAAGAGCATTCCATGGAATATAACAACAAGTGTATCTCGAGCCGGTTTCTCAAACTTACCTACCCTACCTTTAAGATTTAATAAACTATGAATGTTTCATATCTATGTAACGGGAAGAAACTCAGCTAACTGATCTTTTTTTTTTTTTTTTAGAAAGTTACCGGTGCGCCAAGGAGGAAGTGGAGCACACAGGAGACAACCATTTAATTGCAGACTGTTATGTTTGTGTGGGGAAATGACAGTGCATACATTATTTGAGATATATTACGAACTCAGACTTCATTTTAAGGACATTTCGGCCAGGGGTGTAGAGCTATTTGTTTAAGCACCGGATTGGCAAAACAGGAGAGTCTGTAAACCAGTCTGCCTTGATCTATGCCTTTCACGCACCGCCTTCACTGTGTTTACCTTCAGAATCATTAGAAAGGCTAACGAGCGACCGCAGGCTGATGTGTTTTAACCACACACACCTCTACACACACACACACACACACACACACACACACACACACACACACACACACACACACACACACACACACACACACACACACACACACACACACACACACACACACACACACACACACACACACACACACACACACACACACAGACGCAGACTTTTGTTCCTCCATGTTTCGTTGTTATTGTTTCACTGAGCGGACCCGCACATTTTTTTCAAACGCTCCCTTTTTTGGTCCATCTGCGGCGGTAATAGGTTTTGTGCGCTGTGATGATTCGGCTGTACCTTTAGTAATGAATATTAAATGTTGTGAGGAAATCTTTCCACCAATAATTCCAATAAGTAATCCAAAATGTATTCACTTCAGGTTTACGAAAGTAACTGTAATCAGATTACTCGTTTTTCAAATGTAACGCAAGCTGAATACAGTTACTTGATTTTTGTATTCTGATTACGTAACGCCGTTACATGTATTCCGTTACAACCCAACCCTGTGTGTTTTTATTTTTTTTTATTTAACCTTTATTTAACCAGATAAAAACATTGAGATAAAATCTCATTTTCAATGCTGACCTGGCCAAGAAGGCAGCAACGTTACACATAACACATAACACAAACATATAAAATACAGAGAACATAACTAAGAAAACAAAAGACGAAAAAGCAGTCACTACATTGTGCACATTGGGACAGTAAGAAAAGTACACTACTTGTTACTGCAAGAGCAGTTGGTGGTGAGGACTTCCGACAACTTCAATTTAAAACATGCTATAGAGACAAGTGCCATCAGTTTGAGGCGTGATTGAAGGTCATTCCAAGACCAAGGACCATAATAAGAAAGACTCCTTTTTCCAGCCTCAGTCCGTACAGTAGGAACCTGGAACCGTATCCAGGCACTGGATCTGAGGTTGTAAGAGTCGCAAACTGGGGCAAATCTGACACATATGTAGAGTGGAAGCTTACCTAAAATGGCTTTATACATTAATAAAAACCAGTGCTGCATCCTACGCATAGTAAGTGAGGACCATCCAGTTAGGCTATACAGTGTGCAATGATGAGTCCTATAGGGTGCATTTGATATATAACGCAGTGCAGCATGGTAAAGTGTAGAGGTGTGTGTGGTTAAAACGTAGCAGCCTGCGGTCACTCTTTAGCTGTTCGAGCGCTGGTGCTGCTCTTCTCTGAGTTACACGTCCCGCTGCCTCCTGGAGTGACCGCAGGCTGCCACGTTTTAACCACACACCCCTGGCCGAAATGTCCTTAAAATTAAGTTTGAGTACGAAATATATCTCAAATTATGTATGCACTGTCATTTCCCCACAAACATAACAGTCTGCAATGAAATGGTTGTCTCCTGTGCGCTCCACTTCCTCCTTGGCGCATCGGTAACTTTCTCAAAAAAAATCGGGATAACGGGTTAGTTTCTCAGTTATCCCAACTTTTCTTTTTCTCTCTCTCTCTTTTTTTTTCTTTCAATGTCCCTTTAGGGGCTCCGTACATTCTTGAGTAGAGCAAAACAAAAAAAAGTACGTTTCACCAACTCAAAAAATGCAAAAGTAAACTCTTAAAATTGCTTGGAACCACTTGACACATATTTTTTAAGTTTTACCAAAGCAACAGTTTTTACAGTGCACTGCAATAATTAAAAAGATGTGTGTGGGTGGCAGGTACAAACATGCTCTGCTGCTACACACAGGGGTGGCAGCTGAATACCCCAAGGTTCATCTTCAGTCAGCTCTGTATGTGTTTCACAGCATTACAATTTTGGGACAGTAAATATGATAATGGTCATCATTGTCATCAGGATAAAGGGTTTGGATCTGATGTGTAATCTTTATTTATGGAGGGAAAGTCATCAGAGGGCACAGCTTTGGGTCTCACCTGTTCCCCCTCGCGGCCCTGGTGTCCCATGATAATGGCAGCATGGTGAGGATACTTCTGCCTCAGGTGGTCCAGGAACACGTCCGTCTTCCTCTCCACCTCAGAGTGCTGCGCCTCCAGGCTAACCAGCTGGCCGTCCCTGCCGGCCGCGGCCCGGGCTGCAGTAATGTGGCTCCGAGGTAAGGTGCTGGGAGAGCGGGGGGCCGCTCCACCAGAGGGGGGCTCCGGGTGACAGAGCGGGCTGCTGTTGGGGTATGGTTTCTTCTGCAGCAGACGCTCAGTGCAGCTGTCCACAGCCGGAGAAGAAGAAGAAGATACTTTGGATGGAGATTTTTCTGGATCGGAACGGGATAGTTCAGAGAGGAAGGGAGGGAGGTAACAAAATGAACAGAGAAAAATAAATATAAGTAATGTAAGACAGATAGGGACAGAGAGGACAGAAAAAGAGGATGAAGTTCAACAGTCACAGTTAAATTATTAAAGACATGTATAACTTTTTGCTATGTGTGTACTATGTTATACCTAAATTGAAACTGCATATAAAACTGACTGGATTTTCCGTGAGGTTAGATTAGAACCGATCTCAACAAAAGAAACTCATCTGAATAACAGTCTTCTCAGGAGGAGTCCCCCGGCCACACGAGGACAATAATGCAAACGGACCGCAATCGTTATCAAAAAAGTCTTCCGTCCACACACAACAGGCACCAGAAACGTGTCCGTTCACACGAGACCGCTCGAAAGCGCTGGAGACGCTGTAGTACATATGCCAGGCCTGTAAGTGGCGCTGTAGTCTGCCACAAAATTAGCGAAGAAGACTTCCCACGCATGGTTGCCATGGTTGCCCTTCTGTTTATTCTCCACTGTGGACGCTCTGGCTCTTTTTCTCCCTCCCCGAGGCAAGCGTTTGCTCGTGCTGTAAATCTCTCCGGTAGTCCACCAGCAGATGACAAACACCCACCTCTCCGCCTCTTCTAAGGAACGAGGGGACCGTGCGGCAGAGTTTCAGTTAGATTTTTTTTCGCTGGTCAACATGTCCGTTAAAGTTTAAATCTTCCGGACAAAATTAGAAAAGTGCCGGTCAAAGGTCTTCTTTGTTATTTATTGAGCTTTAAAACAAATTGATAACGACTCTATATAATAATATAAGAATAAAAAACGGAGCCTCTCTTTTCCTCCCCCTCTTCTGACAGCCCAGCAGCTGATCACTGAGCAGGAGAGGTGGGGAGAGGCGGGGCTATTGCTTCAATGTTATCAGGAAATTATCGTATAGGCGTAAACACGGAGCCGTTTGCCCCCCCAGAGCGTTTCGTTTGCAGATCTACCCACCTTGGGACCCGTTATCGTTATTGTTATCGTTTTCTGCGTTTCCATGTCGGCCTTGTGTGGCCGAACCGTCTATCTGATAGCAGATACAACCGCTATCGTCCTTGTGTGGCCGGGGCTTAATGCCCCTTTCACACCAAACCGGTTCCAGGGCCGGTTCCGGGCTAGAGCCTCATTAAGCTCTGGTTCTTCCTGTTTCTTCCTGTTCTTAGCTGGCCCCACTCGGCTGCCCAGCAAGAACCAAGAACCAATACTTCACGCTTACGTCGGAGGGGGCGAGATTAACCTGAGCAATAACAGTTTATGGCGAGTACGGCAAATAAAAGTTGTAACAAGCAGTAGCGCTGAGCAAAGTGACTAGAACGTGACTTTGATGGAAACTTCTGGAGCAATGGAGACTCATACCCCTTTCACACCGGCGCTTTTCCAGCTCCTGCTGGGAGCTAGAGCCTGAAAAGCGCCGGTTTTTCCTGTTCACACCGCAGCGGCGGCGCGTCATAGCTCCGGAATGCGGTTCACTTCCAGCTCCAAAAAATTGTCGGTCCAGAGGCAAGAGCTTCGGAGCTATGACGCGGCGTCGCTTACGTCTCTTACGTCGAGGCGTGCAGGAAACCTTACTTTGACCATCCGTTCGCTGTTATTGATCATTGTGGAGATACATGGGCTGTACAGGTTGTCATGTCCGACTATCAGAAGTAGAATCATAATGAAAAATACGCCGGTAAAATGTGCCTATAGGAAACGGCTTAGCAAGTAGTCAGTTTAGCTTCGGTTGCTATGCTAACATCACCCATGTTATACCAGAGAAACTTTCATAACAGCGTTGTGATGCCAAACAGCGTCAATTCAGACTGACACCAAACAGCGTCAATTCAGACTGACACACATTCACTTAAGGGGAACTGGGGATATGTATCAGCTGCTTGTGTGACAGTCAGACAGTGAATACTTTAGAGCCGTGTGAGCTAACCCGGAGCTAACGGGAAAATACACTCCCGTGGAAGAGCAGCCAGCACTGCAGCGGTCGGTAAATGCCGCTGAAACACATTAATAAACAATGAACCACGGCACTCTGGAGAAAAGTATAAGGTTGGAGAAGTCGTTATTTAATTTAATCTGGCTTCGTATGATTAAAAGCAACACGATCATCGACCCGATGCAGTCCCCGGCCCGTTGTTGTTGTGGGAGAAAATCAGCGACGTAAACTGTGACGTCATGACGCAGCAGCGGCAGCTCTGGGCAGTGTGAACAGAGCGGGAGCTGAAAAGGGAAACGGGAGCTGAACCAGAAAAGCTCTCGCGAGGAGCTAGAAAGTGAAAAGCGCCGGTGTGAAAGCCGCATCAGAGAGACACGGGGAGAATTCACAAGACATCATCTGTGTTTCTGAAGATCTCTACCCCAGACCCATGTATTTAGCTGGTTCTGAGAGAATAATCAACATGCTGCATAACAGTGTTAATTTCGTCAACGAAAACTATGACGAAAAATGTTCGTCAACGACCTTTTTTACATGACTAAGACGAGACGATGACGAGCTAAAAATAGATTCTTGATAACGAAAATTTGACGAAATGTATATTTAGTTTTCGTTGACGAGACGAGACGGGACTAAGGTGTTAATGGTGGACTATCGGACATTCAAAATGCAGGGTATTTCCCCCCAAGTGTCCGTCTTGTCTGTCAAAATGCATCTTACATTTCTAACTTGCAATATCATTATTTCCGCTCTCTTCACTCCAGAAGAGCGATCTCCCTCTCTCTCTGTGTGCGGGGGGCGGGGCCTAACAGACACGCTGCAGCGGCACACAGAGATCTGCCGGGGACGGAGCGTTCAGAGAGTATAGAGACACTCTACAAGACTCGATGTGGACAAAGCTCGTTTGCCATGTTTTCGCGTTAGCGCGTTGACACGAGTAGAGTAGTCTGTCCAAACAGCCGGCCAAAAGCGTCATATTCAGTCGGAGAAATGCACAATTTTCGACTTCCTTAACTCGTAGCTCTGTTGCCCCAATTACGAGTAACGTTATCACATCAGGTGTGCAGAGGTGGGAGAAGTACTATAAGTATATAAGTAGTAAAAATACCATAGTGTAGGAAGAGTTCCTCAAGTCAAAGTATGATCATCAAAATATATTTAAAGTAGCGACAGTAAAAGTAGTCATTGTGCAGATTGGTCCATTTCAGAATAATATATATGATATGTTTTATAATGATTGATCATTAAAGTGTTCTCAAAGCTGGTAAAGGTGCAGCTAGTTTGAAGGACTTTGTATACTGCAGGGTAGCTTGTGAATTTACTAAAGTCTGAGTTAACACTTGTTTATATTTCACATCATTCATCCACATCTGTAAAGTAACCAGTGGCGACTGGTCATTAGGGGCAGGTGGGGCACAGCCCCACCTAGTGTCAGCAGAAAGTATTACACATAATGATTACAAAAAATGGAAAGAGATGCAAAAAAAGAAATAAAAAAATATATAAAATATATTTTAAGGTCAAGTTTAATCATCTGATTCGTCTGTGCATTGCTGTTTTAGTCTGTGTTCTTCTAATTAGTGTCTACAGTGCCGTTTTGAGCCATGTGGGACAAAACCTGATCATGCCCCACCCTTTCACTGTCAAAGTGAACGGTGACTGTAAAAACTACACTGCGCATGCTCAGAGTATTTTTCAATGTAATGTGTGTGGCAAAAAAAAAAACACCATAGGGGCACAGAGCTGCCATCCCCACCATACGTCATCTCACATCATTCAGAGCTGATTGGCTGTAAGTACGTGTGCCGCGAAAAGTGTGGTGTGTGAAGAGCATGGATGTATAATAAGAGGAGACGAGAGCTGCAGTGACGCGTCCTAAAACCAGGAAGTAAGCTGCAAAAAAGCAATGAGGTTTCTCTATAGGATTTTAGAAAATAGCTTGAAATAAGATCTGTGGGAAACGTACCTGTTAGATAAATGCACGTTTTGTTCAGCCGGATAATATCCACATGTCTACCCTACTTTTATCATTTTCGAATCATAAATCTATCGATTAGATTTATGATAGACTTTTGAAACTACAAGATGATAAGGAGGACTTTTACAAAAAAGTTATAGAATTTTTTGTCCAGAAGGATAGGCAAATGGACTTCATCTTCAAGTCAAGGTAAGACCGCAATTTTTTGAAAATGGGATCTTACTTAGAGAGAACAATTCAATATTTAAATGATCAAATTACATTTTTTGGGTATCCTTTTGTTGAACTGTCTGTTTAAAATTAATCGAAGCATCAGACAAAAAAAGCTTTTGAAAATAATATTATATTTTGGTTTAGGTCAAAATATAATATTTGTAAACCTGAAGAGTCAGTGCCAGTGCCTCACCAGCCATGAACCTCACTGCACGTCACTGCAGAAGCTTATATATAGACATCTAAGTTTTTTGTGCCCCACCACTTTTGTACATATAAAAACGCCACTGAAAGTAACTAAAGGTATTAAATACATGTAGTGGAGTAGAAGTACACCATTTAACTATGAACTGTAGTGGAGTAGAAGTACACAGTAGCAAAACATTTAAATACTCCAGTAAAGTACAAGTACCTCAACATTTTACTCAAGTACAGTACAATATTTTAAAATAATTATATATATTTCATTTATTTCACATTTAAATAAAGCAATTAATTCGGTTAACAATTTGTTAGTTTTTTCCTTTAAAAAATAACAAAAAGTAAATACAAGAATACCGTTAAAGTACCGGATCGATAAGCAGTATTGATAAGACTAGTAGTACTGTAAAAAAACCTTTGCGATACCCATCCCTAGATATTACACAAGTAAAGTGTTAAGAGAGTGAAATGTTGCTTTACGAATTTCAACACTTGATGCTGTCACCTTGATTACAATTTCAGAAACCTGTATTTGCCTAACTGAATTAGTTTAAAGAGAGAAAACATTTTGACTAAAAGTTGACTAAAATGTAATTTTTCATCGACTAAAACTAGACTAAAACGTTTTGAGTTTTCGTCGA